GATTTGGAGATGGCTTTGCTAAACTGAAGCAAAGATTTAAAGACAACCCAAACAAATTACGGAAGTGGAAAAATGCTTTGATCCAATCTACAAGCCTCGCTAGATGGGATTCCAAGAATTTCAGGTACCTTCCAGTGCAGATCATTTGCCTTGTACGAAAAAAAAGAGCTTTTTCATGAACTGATAGTGTTATAGATTTTGCTCATCCATTTTAATTTCATAAGTCTACCCAATTGTCCTAGCATTTGTAGTTTATACTTAATTTTTTTGTCTATTAAACATGCTTTTTTTAGGCCAGAGATCAAACTCGTTAAAAAAATTGTCAAGGATATATTGAGCAAATTGAACTACTGTACATCGTCATCATGTCATCTTGAAGGACTTGTGGGCATTAATCATCAAATTGAGAAAATTGAAGAACTATTGATTGATGCTCGGATTGTGGGAATATGGGGCATGGGTGGTATAGGTAAGACTACACTTGCCAAGGCCGTGTTTCACAATTTGAAAGCACAATTTGAAGCTTCCTCCTTTGTTGGAAATGTAAGAGAACAACTAGCAAGAATTGGTCTGAACAAATTAATGGAAGAAAGCCTTAAAGAATTATTAAAAGATGAGGGCCTTCACATCTACAACATGAAATCCACTTTTGTGAAACGCAGGCTCCAACAAAAAAAGATTCTTTTGATACTTGATGATGTGGACAATTTATTAACAGCTGAAGATTTAACCAAATTGTGTGATTGGTTTGGAGAAGGAAGTAGAATTGTTGTTACATCAAGAGACATGCATGTTCTCAAGAATGCTTCTGCATCTGCAACATATCATGTTCAGAAATTAGAGTTCGGTCATGCTCTAAATCTTTTCAGTTTGAAAGCATTTAAGCAAAATGATCCATTTAAAAGTTATTTCGAGTTATCAAAGTTGGTTGTTGATTATTGTCAGGGAAACCCATTAGCTCTTGTAGTGTTGGGTTGCTTTCTGTACAATAGAACAAAACAACAGTGGGAAAGTGCATTGGAAAAACTAAAACAAGCTCCGCACAAGGATATTTTTACTGTGCTCAAATTGAGTTTTGATGGACTTGATGAGAAGCAAAAGAATGTGTTTCTTGACTTGGTACATTTATCGAGCGAAACAAGTTATAAGATTTCTTTAAACTTTATTAGAGGCTTCTATGACTTTTCTGTATATATTGAGATAAGTGTCCTCAAAGAAAGATCTCTTATTTCGATGGATCAATTTGGTGGAATTGAGATGCATGATCTTGTAAGAGAAATGGGTCAAGAAATTTGTAGACAACAATTGATCATTGATCCTGAAAGACCTATTCGGCTGTGGAAACACAACGATATTTATCATTTGTTCATCAATAAAAAGGTACTAAGTTGTCAATTTATACATTTTTCATATTTTTACTTTCTCTTCCTTGTTCAATTTTGAAGCTTTTTTGTGTCACATATGTATTTGTTGACTAGGGGAGTGGGACAATTCGATGCATATCTTTGGATATGTGCAAGACAAAAGAGATGACATTGCAGGCTAATACCTTCAGAAAGATGAATGCCTTAAAATTTCTCAAGTTTTACAAGTCTGATTTTAAAAAGCCTTCAAAAGTGTATGTTTATGAAGGTCTTGATAATCTCCCTGAAGAACTAAGGTTTTTCTTTTGGGAAGATTATCCTCTGCCATCTGTACCACTAAGCTTTTGTGCAGAGAATCTCATGGAACTTGAAATGCCTCATAATGAACTCCAACAACTTTGGGATGCAGATCAGGTACATATAAATATCATTTCCCCACAATATATATATATAGAGAATTTAATTGTTATGTAACTTATTTCCGTTGTTTCTCTTTTTCAGCATTTCCCGAATTTAGGAGTGATGAATCTGACTGCGTCAAAAGATCTGGCTGAGCTTCCAAATCTCTCTCAAGCCCCCAATATGAGTATGGTATATCTTGATGAATGTGTGAACTTGACTCAAATTTATTCTTCAAGTAGCTTGAGCAAGCTTTCCCATTTATCCATACGAGATTGCAAAGACCTGAGACATATAAGCATTGGTGGCAATATCAAGGAGACAAGTTCTGGGTTAGTAGCTGTCTACAATTTTCTGGATCTTGGCAACTCGTTGTTCCATAAATTGATTGTGAAGCTCTTTGTCTCAAACGATGGCAATATTTTCTCTGGTTTTCGGGTTAAACTCGTGTCAGTATCATTGTCAGAGATATTATCAACAGATCAGTACATGAACAATACTGAGAGTTCAAAGTTGAAATTGTCATCTTTGCTTCCATTTGTTACTTCGCTTCGCTGGTTAGATCTTATGGAGTTTGGCAATTTCAGCGAACGTTTCAACTTTCTTTCTGAACATGAAGAGCTTAAGAATATCCATGCCAAAGATGTAGTCAACGAACTCAGAGCGATGGTGAGAAAGCCATTAGAGGTTGAAGAAAAGAGAATAACAGAAGAGGTGATCACAGATTACACTTCTTATTATCATGGAAAAAGGAAGCCATTGGAGATCGAAGAAGAGATAATGACAGAAATAATGGAATGCTGTTGCAGTACAAGCAATAATAGATTAATCAGAGCTCCTAATAGCATCACACGCTGGCCATTACTGACACAGGTGACATTGCAGAAAAGTGAAATTACTGGGTGTGAAGTTTGGGACAATCCTGGGATTTCAATGTTGAAATCACTTGCAGAATCTTGTTGTTGCAGTAGGATTAAACCTGTCATAGATATAAGAATTTCACTGGATAAAGAAGCAACGATATGGGGTGGCAATAATGATATTGTAGCAGAAACAAAATGGGACATGCCTAATTTTAGCATCGATATATGGCAAGAATTGGCTGGAGATTTCTTTGTTCATTTTCCCATTCGCTTAGATCACGAATCCATTTCGTTTCTTTTATGGTTTTCAAGAAGTAGCAGCAGCAGGTGATGATGACTTCTGATGCCTCACTGTTATGGATTGATGTGTAGATAATTTGTTTCGCATTCACGTATCATCATTACTGAATCAAGTGTACGCATTCATTTTGTGAAAGCAAGGCCTACACAGACAGATGATTTATACACGTAGGAAAGATCATGTTTCTTAAATATAATTTTGATTGTAGGAATGTTTAATTACTGGATCCTAAAGACAAATCACTATTCTAATTTTGATTCATTTTTTTCATTTTCACCTCTTATTTATTGAAATAAATGTGAAAAAGCAACTAGCAGTGTTTTATATTTGATATTCTCTCTGTCCCCTATTATAAGTCTTAATTTTAAAAAAAACATATAGACTAAAAAACCAGTAAAAAATATGTGATATGTAAAAATTATTTTGCTTTATTCCTACTTTCAATTAAATGCAACGGACAACGTTTCTTTAAATATTAAAATTACAACATGTAATTTAGACTTTTATTAAACAATTTTAAAAAAAGATACATTGATTATACTTAAAAAGTTATATTTAAAAAAACTTAAAATTAGGACCCTTGTTAACCAATATGGTGAGTGCAAAGGGGAAAAAAAATTAAGAATGATACTTAAGGCATTTTAGAAAAAACATATCATATTAACTAATTTAACTAATATCCTTAATCTACTCAAATTAATTAATTAAGTCTCAACATTCGGGACTAGAAGAGTACTTTCATTGCTACAATCGGAGTATAAGGGCGAGAGAGAGGGTCATCAATAAAGCAGGGGAGCCTGGGAGGTTTGAGGTTGATCTATGAGAAGCAGAGTAAGAGAAGCAACCACAATAATTACTCATATGGGACTCTGTAATGTCCAAACGCAGTTTTAGATCTACGAGAGGTTGAATCTTTTTGCTTTTCAAAATTGAAACTTGTAGAATAATGTAACCTCTTGCGTTTCCAATAATGGAACAAGTGCTAATACACTAGCATTAGTGTTACCTGTACAACACTCCGCTTGTGCCATTAACTCGTCGTCTTCAACTTCAAATCTCATCCTCTCCTCAATATCATTACCCACTTCTCTTCTTAATGGTACCACCACGCCACTTTCTGACACTCGTTCAAATCAAACGCCAGAGATGATCCCTCCTGACACAAACATCTTCATTGTGTCACTTTATTGAACAACAACTTGTGAAGATCCAAATAATCACGCACATTCACTAACCCTGATCAACTTCTTTCTCCCTTTAACAGTACCACCAATGTTTATTCGCTCTGGCCCATCATATCTCAAGACATAAATCGGTAAGCTTGACTAGGGCAGTTTGAAGAATGGATTTGATCCAAACTTACACAGCCATCAGCTTTTAAGCATTCAAGATTCGGGGTCTTAGACAGATCTGAGAGTACCGTGAGATATTTTGAGCAGCTTATGTCGATCTTCTTTAAATTTGGAAAATGCTGAAAAAATAAGCAATATGTTACGTTAGATAATTACACAATTTAACCATGAATTTCACTCATGACAATTAAAAACAGGAGACTTTAAAGGAAATAAGTCAATGCATTCAGAAGAGCACTGGATTTAAGGAAAGGAAAAAAAAAGGTCTATAAAGCTGGAAAAATTGCTGATTGGTAAACTTGGGTCCGGATATGTATATGTATAGGGGTTGCGCAATCTTAGGGCTAACGAGGGCAATATGCTGAAATTCTCACAGCTAACAAGTAATTTCTCCAAATTGAGGGGGTGCACTCAAATATCAACCGTTCATTTGGTCAATGTTTGATGGCTGAGATATCTAAAACAAAAGTTCAAAGAGGTCTTTAGAATTAGATAAAGAAAATGATACATACTTGATGGCCTTTCCCAAGTTGCCTGATATGACCATTAGGAATTTGAAGCTCAGCAGGATTCCCCTCATAGAAGCTTAACGGCACAGATGGTAAAGGATATTCTTCCAACTAACAACCCTGAATTATTTCATCTGGAAGATAACTCATATCCTTACCAATAATCAACTTCGAAGGCTCTCTCCAATCAGACCAATAAATTTTTAGAAATATTAAATTATGCATCTTTGAAGGTCATTAGCTGTCAATGGAATCCTTTTTATCTTGCTCGTGTCCAATGACAAGCATTGGATTGACTCAGTCACCTAGTAAGCACGTTAAGGGGAAAAAAAGAACAACTATTATAACATAAAAATTTACCAAAATATCATGGAAAATGAGATTACAAAAAAAGAATAGATAGATTAAATTAGTACCTTGTTACTAATGAAAAAATCATAAATGTCCTTATAACTTTGCAGTCGAACAGGGCCTTTAGGATTGGAGAATGACTGTTCTCTAGCAATTTCAACACCCATGTCCCTCACAAGATCATGCATCTCAATATAGCCGTTATGATCCAATGAAGTGAGGGCTCTCTCTTTAAGAACATTTATGTCAATATCTACAGAAGAGCCATATAATTGTCTTATTAGGGTCAAAGAAACTTCAACTCTTTCCTTGATGAAAAATGCTATGTCAAGAAACATATTCTTTTGGCGCTCATCAAGTCTATCAAAACTCAATTTCAGAACATCAATAATGTACTTGGGTGGTGCTTCTTTTGTTTTTTCCAAAAAACTTTCCCACTCCTCTTTTCCTCTACCTTGAAGAAAAGAACCCAACATTACAAGGGCCAATGGATTTCCTTGACAATAATCCACTACTGATTCTGATAATTCCATATAACTTTTAGGTGGCTCATTTTGCTTGAATGCTTTCAAACTAAAGAGATGAAAGGCATCATGTAAATTTAATCTTGAAATAGAGTATGTTGAAAATGCAAAAGCATTATGAAGTACTTGCATGTCCCTTGATGTGATAATAATTCAACTTCCTTCTCCAAACCAACGATACATTTAGTTAAATCTTCAGCCGGTAGTGAATTGTCCACATCATCAAGTATCAGAAGAACTTTTCTGCGTTGAAGCCTACTTCTCACAAAAGAGGATTCTATATCAAAGACATTAATGTCCTTATCTTTTATTAATTCTTTGAGACATTCTTTTTGTAACCTGTCAAACCCAATTATTGCTAGTTGTTCCCTTACATCTTCCACAAAGGAGAAAGCTTCAAACTGTGCTTTCAACACGTGGAATACAACTCTAGCAAGAGTACTCTTACCTATACCACCCATACCCCATATTCCCACAATGCGAGCTTTACCCAATAGCTCTTCAATCTTCTGAATATGATGATCAATCCCAACTAATCCTTCAAAATGAAAGGACGACTTGCCATTCAATTTGCTCAAAATATCTTTGACAATCTTCTTAATAAGTTTGGATTCAGGCCTAGCACATACATAAATTAAAAGAACAATCATCTTTAATGCCCAAAGAAAGAAGGTATAAGTGCAGAATGAGTAGAAACTACCTGATATTCTTTGAATCCCACCCAGAGAGATTTGTTGATTGGATCAAAGCATTTGTCCAATTTTGCACTTTTTCTTGGTTGTGGCTAAATCTCTGCTTAATCTTAGCAAATCCATCTCCAAAACTTCCATTTTGTTTGCGAACATTTGATGGATCTATGTCATAGAAAATAGGGATGACAACTCTTTGGTATTTATCCCTACAGCTCATAATATGAACAAGCTCGTCCATACAACATGTTGAAGATGCATAATCTTTGGAGAAAATAATCAAAGATATCTCTGATTCCTCTATTGTTTTCAAAAGAACGGGTGAGATATGGTCTCCTTTGTGGAGCTTGTGATCCATAAAAGTTTGAAGGTTTGCATCGCAAAGTGCTTCATAGAGATAACTTGAGAAACTGTCATGAGTGTCTTTCCCTCTAAAGCTAAGAAAGACGTCATAATTGGTTGTAGGAGGAGCAACAATGATATTAGAAGGAGAGCAAACCATGGGAATCGAATCAACATCATCTTTAGAACTACAGATGGAAAGAAATCATAAATTAATATTGGGCTATCAGCAAACGGAACAAAGAGGAATTGCTATAGAAGATGTTACCTCTCATGAATAGAAATAGGACGGATAGTATGAAGTGGAGAGATTAATCTGACAGCTTTATAAATTACTATAGCCAGCAAAATCAATACAGCTTCTATGAGCATTAAAGCAATGGTTGCATCCATGTGACTGTAATTTCTTGCTTCAACCTCAAACTAATACTTGCTCTTTGGCTTTACCTTCCCAGCAGGGGGTATGGTTTGTTTCTTAATTCACGTGATGATAAAAAGATAAGACAAAAATAGTTAGCAAGTGCACAATACATTTGTCTATATAATACGATATCTCAGGCATTGCTAACCTAATGTTATAGTATCTTCAGAATTATTATAATTAAAAAATATATTATAAAAAATTATTTAAATAAAAAATTATAATATTATAAAATTAATTGTTTTTTTAATAAATATATTATTTATTAAATATATTTTAAAGCTGAAAAAAAGGATAGCCTAAAGAGAATAAAATTTCATTTTTCTTAGAGCATATAAAATTTGTTAATTTGATTATTTTAAATATATTATTATATTAATTAGGATAAAAAATTACTGTACCAATTTTTTAATGCACATATTAACATGATAAGACTGAATTTTCATTAAATTATATAATTTAAATTAAGATGTAAATTAATTTATATAATATATCAATAAAAAATATAAACTAATATGTAAGGGTAAAATGGTAAATTGATTATTACTATCCCTCCCTTCCCCTCCTTGAACCAAACAAGGGATCATTAAATATCCTCTTCTCCCTTTCTTTTTAATCAAACCAAATAAGGTGAGGATAAAACCTTCCCTCCCCTTCCATCCCCCACCTCCCCTCCCTTCCCTATCCTCCCCTCAAATCAAACAGGCCCTTAGGTGGCGACGATGCCTCTCGCTCTCAACTCTCGTCCTCTACCAGTCACTTATTGATCTCTCATCCTCGCTTCCCCTCTGCCTAAGGACTTCATACTCACTCACTCACACAGTCACGCACGATGCCTCCCTCTCTCTACTACTGGCCGGGAAATTGCTTCTTTGTCATGGGGCAGTCACCCATAGCCTCACTTCTTAAGCTAACTCCCCAGCTTTCTTTCGGTCTTTCAAATAGGTTTGTATCCATACTAGTAGGTATAATATTCATATGTAAGCTCTTTTATGGAGTTAACCGCTACTACTTGAGAATAAGCCCGGAAGCAAGTATAGGGAAACTATATATTGATTATGTTTATGGAAAAAAATTGTTCTTACAATTTTGCTGTAATTGGAACGACTGTATTGAAGTAAAATACCATTGCAAACTTGTTGTTAGGATAGGAACCCAGCATGAAAGGCTTTAATAGTTTTAGTTATTGCTTTGTCCTTTTTGTGGACTTGTGAAAAAGCTATAACAATTTTGGAAAGGGCATTATTTAGTACTTGGTGTAATTTTGGGACTTGTGAGTGTCTCTATAACGAGGACATGGTTGAATTACTAGTTTTTTCTTTAATGTATGTGTTTGGTTGATGTCAGATTTTTTCCATTTAGGTTTAAGATGGGTTTATCTGGCAAGAGATCTAGAGAATCGCAAAACAATGACATTGATTGGGATGACTACAGTGATATTGAGAATGAACAGGCAAGTATTTGCTGGGAGTTTCATCATCTTCCAATGTAATATTTATGATTTCTTTTTGGGTGATTGAGGATTATATTTTGATGTAGGTAGAGTCTGATGCAGAGGATTATGATGATGATGAGGGGGAGGATGAAGATGACGAGGAGGGAACCTATGATGAAGAAGATGATACAGTAGAGGAAGATAAATGGAATAATGATGAGATGGAACAGCTTGAGAAAGAGTATAGGGAACTCTATAAGCAAGAGCAGTAAGATTTCCATCTTTATGGATGTGACATGACTTATATTGCTAGATTTGAAGTTTCTCAATGAAGTTAATATGTGGGAGACTTTTCTTTGCAGTTGTTATTTTTATGTGCTGTATTGTTTACTAGTCTTGATGGTCTTTTGTTGTTTGTTTAAACTTTAAACTTTAATCTTATATTACACCCCTTGTTACATGGTAATTATTAAAATTAGAGTTAGTTAAGAGAATTGTTAGTTAGTTAGAGAAGGTTATTAGTATCCGTAGAGGATAATAGTGCATGCATGAGGTGTCTTGGAATTCAAATATAGTTTCTCTATTACTTTCCTTGTTCTACCTGCATCAATGGTATCGAAGAGAAAAAAGTAGAGATAGAATGTAGTAATTTCTTATTCCCCACCTTAGAACGAGTACATGTGGAATACTTATATTGATTCTCTCATGCTTGCTCTGGTTTAACAGACTAATAGAGTGATAACTCTTCTGTTACAACTAACTAGCTACTGCTATTGCCATGTAACACCCAAAAAACTAGAGAAAAAAACTACACACACAGAAATCAGCTGGACCTTGTGAAGAATTGCCATTTCAAAAAGAAAATGAAGGTTGTTTTGGATTTAACAATATATGCATGTCTATGACATGGCTGGTAGCTACATTTGTAGAGTGTGCCATAGCACGTGGCACAGTAACATAAATTTCTTCTATGTTGGCAGCACTATTTTCTTCTTTCTTCCAAAGAATGTGCCTGTTTTTCTCTTTCCCTACAAATTCTTTGGAACTGGCTTCCAATTATTATGTGTAAGCGATCCCTTTACTCCTTTTTCCTGAACTCCAATGCTCCAACTTTAACTCACTTCCTTTGGTGTTTTTATGGTGTTATTTGAAAATGTATCTTTTTGGCAAAAAGTGTTTTTTCCCCATATTTACGATTGTGAGACAGAGCAAACCACATTGATGATTTTGCATGTGAGAAATTTTTGTTAGGGGGTAACCTAATGATGCATTAGTATTCCTTCTAAGCAATAGTAATCTCTATATTAGACTCTGGTCATGATGGTTCTTTTTGTTGTTCCTGTTTTTTATCTTTAAGAGTGTATAAATTCTTATGCATGTAAAATTCTTTTTCTACCTTTAGAGATACCTTAAAAGAGTTTGAAGCGTCATAAAGATGAAGATCTCCTTAAAGGTCAAGCTGTGAAAAACCAGAAGGTATAACGTTAACTAACTCATACCTTGACACACGTACATATATTTGATTTTTAAATTGATATAAATTATTTTATTGAGTAATGATTAATTATTTTCCAACTACTTAATCTTTTTCTGGATCCATTTCCTTTTTTTAAATTGTTATTTTGAACGACCCATTTCTTCCTTATTATAGTAACATGGAATTTTTTATTATTATTTCTTTTCTAAGTGCTTTCAGTTATAGTTGTTACCATAATTTGTATATAGTTCAATGGACGTTTTCCCTCCTTTGCTTAGTTTGTAATCATATTATGTTTGTTTTTCTTGAAGGCACTCTAGTACAAGATCCTTGAGCTTAGAGTCTTACTTCAGAAGCCATACTCAAGTTCAAATAGGTTACCCCAAGTATTTTCCTATTGCACTTGAAAGATTACTATGACTTTTTATTTATCACAAAAGAATTTTGTGCCAAAGAGATGAACTTTTTGCAGGAGCCAGTCAGGTCTTCATTGTATGGTTCTGATAAGGGTGTTAGTGTAGCATATTCAGATCTTATGACCTCCTCCAAGGAGACGTTAGATTCTATATTGGAACTACAAGGGGTCTAGATATAGAAGAAAATGTAGAACTGTTCCCTTACATTTCATGCCAACAGAAACTGTATTTATCTATAATATTATGTCTTTACTTCTCTAATTTTCTTATGCACTGATAATTTTCTCCTTATATTAGGCCCTGCTTGCCCGGAATCCATCTATTGCCCAAGTCTCATATGGTCATTGATTTCTTTTTTGTTGTCCTTTGTTTTCCCTCGTAATTTAACTGCAACATTAACATATCCTTCTCTGTTGGTCAATAAAGCGAAAGGGCAATATTTTGCACTAATGGAAATAGATGCCTTGTCTCTTGTATGTGCATGTTGTTGAAAGGATTTTTATTTTTATTCTTTTGGGATGTGCTATAACTTCTATTCTGTCGCATATATGCTTGAATGGTGTTCTGAACTAACATGAGTTTGTTTTATCTTCTAAAAGGTTCAGAAAGATCACCAGAACATTTAGACATTTTTAAGAATTTGGATGACAATTTTGATGAAGAGTGGTCATAGATTTCTCAAATGCATAAGAGGTATTTTTCATCATCATCTTCTTAGTGTACTCTTATTTTGCTAGATGTTCATTTCCTCACAACACATCATCATTCAGGCTTCTAAGTTTTTTCACTTGAACCCTACCTGCGGCAGTAATATTTGAAACTTACCTTGTTATGTATTTGGTGTGCATTTTTTTTTCTTTTTTTTACTTTTTGTTGTGCTAAGCACCCGCCCCCCAGAAAACCCCCGGGGGGGGACATGGCACACAAAACTAACTCAACTTGTAAGCACCCCTAAATCATGGATCTTCACTACTATCTAGACCTTTTGGATTGATGGAGTGATCTACTTCAAATTAAATTTCAGAAGAAAATAATGTGACCTTTTTCTTTTTCCAGTTTTTGCACTTATATTAATAAAGCCTATTATTGGTCTTCACCTAACAACTTAAGATTTTGAGTTCCAACTGTGCCTTTTGACATTTTAGATATCTTATATTTATATGCATGTGCATAAAATTGATTAGATAGACACTATGACCTAATTGATGTTATTCATAATTGCATTTTGTAGATTGGCACCTTTCAGAGATAGGTCGATCAACAAACGGCAGAGGATGCTGCAAGTGACAACTGGTGCTGCTGCCTTTAAAGGCAAATTATTGGCTTTTAATTAGGTCTGGCTTTATAACTTCACTGAGGATTCTGTTGTGTGATAGGCAGGCTGTTTTACTTTTAACATGTCCATCATAGGATATAAGCCACCAAGTTGCTACTTATATGAGGGATCCCAGTAGAATGATCAAGCAAATGAGGCTGAGAACATCTACTGTTAGTATATTTGGAAATGTAAGTTAGTGTTGTCTTTTTTTGTTTTTAAAACAAGATTCATTTTACAGTTTTCTCAGAGTCAAAGTTAAACCCATTCATGCTTTTTTGGCTCTTTTCTAATTTTTGAGTGCCTTTCAATTTCTGTATACTGACATCAAGAATATGTCTAATAACCACCAAATTTTTCTCTCATTTCTGCATGCACCGTCACTGGCATTGTCTTCGGAAGAGGTTAGTCAAATTCATTGCTAATTGAGTTAAAACAGAACCTTTGTGTTTTTCTCCATGTTGAATCATGCAGACAAATGTACTATGTGATATTTTTAAAGGAAGCCATTCAAGTGTTTCAATCATGGATTTTAAGTCTTCATACTCTTAATGCTTGGCATTTTGTTATCAATTATTATTTTAATATCCTTTTTATCTATTATGTTTGCTTGTGCTTAGCAACGTAGATCAATATTTATTTCCAGCATGACAATTATGAATTCAAATTTGTTTAGGAAACTCATATTGATGGTGATCTCGAACTTCTAGATGACTTTGAATTTTATCAGCAATTACTAAAAGAGTTTTTCGAGACAGTTGATCCTACATCATCCGGTAAGCAATAATTGTGTTGTTTTGGTTGAACAGGCATTATTTATATATTGTATTCATATTCTTACTTCTGATTATGTCATTGGAATATTAGACTAGTCAAGACATCCTCTTTTGTTTAACTTATAATGTATTTTGGCAATTATGACCGAATGATTCTTGATATTTAGCATGAAAGGTTTCCTAGAAAGATTGTAGAATTAGTAGTGATTTTTTCCCCCCTATCTAAAAGTTTTGATCAAATTTTTTGAGCCTAGAATTAGCATGAGCTGCTTTCCTAGAAATCATAGTGTTAACCTTATACCATGCAAGCAGAAGCCACTTTCTTATTTTCTGCTATTGTGAATCATACAGAGAAAGCACTTTATGCCTTGAAGAAGATGCAACCAAAGAAAAGGAAAATTGTTGATCGTCGGGCCTCAAAAAGGTCGCAAGATAAGGTTAGTTGATGAAGATGGCATTTCCTTGTTTTGTACCATTACTTTTTGTCACGTGTATATACATACATACTGCTAAATTCTCCAGAACTGAAAAAGAGATTTTTGACTAATTTGCGATTTATATTGTGCGATGTGGCATTGAGGGTATAATGTTCATGAAAATATTGTAAACTTCATGGCTCCTGAGTCCATGAATCTTCCACCTATGGTTCCTAAACTTTTTGAAGATTTGTTTGGATTAAAGTCACAGAGATCATCTGTTGGGATAGCATAATCATACACTTGGAAAACAGATAATGACATCAAGTGTTGTGCAGTAACTTGTCATATTATATTTGTACTCATTTAACCAATATTATATTATTTATTGAGGAATTTTATTTTTCTCTTCGAAAGGCAACAATTTAGTGTAGTGGTGAGGATTGGTAGTTTATAGAAGGTTTTAGTTTCAAATCTTCTCTATTCTTAATGTACTTATCTTTCGTGGACAGCATATATTTCCATAAGCAATCTATCCAACTGAGGTGTAGTTATCCATTACATTCATACTGAATAGCAATTCCATTATGTGGAATGATGCAGTGACTTAGATAAATCTTATTTAAGATGCATACATTAATAGCAAGTGATTATCTCCCCCTTTTTACATGCTTGTTACTTTAAGTTTACATCAAATTTCATTTTAATTTTTAGGGTTTTTAAAGTGTATTTTTAGTTTCTTAATTTTAACATCTTAAATTTAAGATTAAACTAAAATTTGACGCAGATTTAAAGGACTAAGCATATATGTTATACTTTTTTTGGTTAAATCTATATGCAACTAGGATAAATTCAATAATTTAGTGAAAAGACTGGTGTTATTACCCGTGTCATGAACTTGGAAAGATTGATCAACCGTGTAAGTAAAATCAATGTGAACAGGAACTTTTGTTAATTAACTGCTAGTCTTAGTGCTACTTGCACCACATTTCCAAAATAACTATTTCAAAGCTGATTAATAAATCATACCTAACATAAATACATGCCCCAAGCAATTTTAGTCATATTTAAAGAAAGGATTTTTTTTTAAAGTTGAGTCTATCGAAAAAAAATTTCAACATGCAAACAAATAAAACTGAGGCACTTCAAGTTAACATATAACTGAAAATTTTAACAAATAACCAAAAATTAAGAGCATAAAATATAGAATAATTTTTTTAAAGAAAATATTACTTTGTCGTTGTCGAAAAATGATAGGTATTATTGTGCCTCCATTAACCGAGAGAAGTTATAAAAGTAAGAGATAAGAAAAATTAATTAAAATCTTTTAACCTTACTTCATTTTCACAAAAAATCAAACTTATTAAATTTTTCACTCTCCCATTATCATTTAACCAAACAAAGTTAATGAATAAAGACGTGGTTTTTGCTGTGAAAAAAATAATGACGTTTCATGAAATGAACAATTTATTGTAATAAAATATGAGTTATGGTAATACGTTCTATTATAATTTAATTTAGTAAAATCTATTTTATGCAAGTAGACTGTACATATTTTTGAAGTACAAGTTAGAGGATACTCTATTTATGGTAAATAGTGAATAATCCCAAGGAAATTGCTTCGCAATAAAAAATTATTTCTCCACCTATTTATAAATAAGTTATGCAATGTACACGCGCATAAAGTAACGAACGATCGAATAATTATTAATTATTGAAAAGAAACAATAACATTAATAATTTCTAGAGTATTTTCTAAAGTTGTGAGGAAGCGCTCGAAAAATCACACTTCAAAATATATATATATCTTTGATGTCACATAATGGGAAGGGAAAATTACCACTAGATCTCAAGTGAGAAAACCAAGTATAAATAGATTTTTTTTTTTGAAAGAAAGTGTAAATGACCACAGTGCCAATTAACCACGTTGATCAACTTGGAATGATTGACTGGCGGCCGATCAAACAAATATATTTTATTTTAACATAGTTTACAATTTTAAATATTATAACATTTTAACATTTACAAGTTGAGTTAATTCAAAAGTAATCATTCTACTTTCTTATAATAAAATTGCTTAGTAAGGAAATTGTTTGTCATGCTAGTTATTATACTCAAATCACATGAAGAGTAACACACACAACAGGTGTAGTTATTGTGAAGCCAAGATAAGATTAACAATTTTTATGTTCTAAAGTTGTGAGGAGGCCTCTGTACATGAATTACATATTAAAAAAACAGAAAAATTGGTATTTCATAAAAACATAATATTAATATGTAATAAGAAAATAACTGAGGCTGATTCAAATAATAATTTTATGACCTGAAAAATTTAAATGATAATTAATATCATCAGTGGTCCTTCAAAAAGTGAACAACTAAGCCATGACTATCAAAATAATTACTTGACCAGTATGTACTGCTGAAATAAAGAAAAGAAGGATCGTGTGGCGTACTCTCCAAGTAGTTATAACGGACTGTGAAAGAATGACGAGGTAAAGGGGATACTGGGGAAGAGAGTTGTACTGCCAAGAGAGGCTGAATCCTCCTTCTGCAATCTTCATTGAGTGATTTGAGGATTATTGAAGCTTGAGGGATGATGCTACAACCTGTATTATTATTCCCAATAATAATATCACTCTCTTTTAATGTCAGTCGAACCAACAATGACCAGCGAGGGATGCTGTTAGGAATAAGTAGTGTTGTTAATAATGCATTGTCCATCTTACTATAATCCTCATCGGCCCCTTCTTGTTCATCTTCCTTTAATAATAATGTTGTCTCTGCTACTTGATTACCTTTACTACTTATTTCTCTTTCACTCTCACTAATCATTTTTGTATCATCCTCATCCTCTTCTTCATCATCTTCCACACCCCTCTCTTCTCCATCACCCCTCACCTTTACAGAAAGCCTGAAGTCATTCCAGCTTGAAAGACCAGTGTATGCACGACAAACATGATAGGTATGATGTTGCTTGAAATCATGCCCAAACTCAATTGGACTCTCTAACCATTCAACTACCCTCACAAATGGAAGTAAAGTCGCCAAACTTTGTATTCCCACTCTCATGAATTCTGCCGTCTCTCCCAGTGGCATTCTCACATGCTTAAATCCAACACCACACATCATTTTGCCACATACCAACACCTTCATTGTCACTTTATTGAATGTCAAATTGGAAACATCCAAATAATTGTACACAATCACTAACCTTGATGAACTTCTCCTTTTCACACTGCCCCCAATATTTATCTGTATTGGCCCACAATCTTTTATAAATAAATTGACATCCTTTTCCAGGACAGTTGAAGAATGGATTTGATCTAAATTCACACAACCACCAAGACTCATCCACTCAATCTTCGGGGCTTGAGACAAATCTGGGAGTGCCATGAGATTTTTTGAATTCCATAGATATATTTTCTTTAGATTTGGAAATTGCTGAAAAAAACAAAGTAGTAGTGTTAAATAAATTAGATAACTCCACATGCGTACAATTTAATCAAGAATTTTTCTCATGCCCAAATTGTACAATTACTACTCAACCATCAATTGAAAGATAGTAATAGAGTAAACATTTTCATTTTGAATTATTTTAGTCAATGTTTCTTAGAATCACAAGAACAAACAATTATGACATATGAGAAACTATACGTGCCTGATCTTCATCCCAAAGCTGATAGATATTACTCTTTGGCAAATTAAGTTCAATAAGATTCTCAACACAAAAACAATTAAACATTTACATTGTGAATTATTTTAGTCAATGTTTGATGCCACGTCTTAGAATCACATACACCAACAAAAACATTATGACATACATTGAAAAAACAATGCGTACATACCTGATTTCCATCCCAAAGCTGTTGGATATTACTACGAGGCATGTTAAGTTCAATGAGATTCTTAGCACAAAATTGTAATGGCACAGATGGCAGTGGATATTCTTGCCAACTAAGAAACCTTAATTCTTTTGAAAGATAATCCAACTCTTCACAAATATTCAACTTTGAAGGATTTCTCTGATCAGACTTGTAAACATTAAGGAACATTAAATAACGCATCCTTTGAAAATGACTAGCCCTCAATGTCATGCTTTCTATTTGGCTTGCATCCAATGACATGCATCGAATTGCCTCAATCCCCTGGTAATAATATTAAATCGAGGGAAACACAATTATCATTACCTAACAAAAGACCATAAATACCATAAAACAATTAAATATATCAACTTTTATCCAAATTAACACCGCTATATCCATTTTATTGAAAATTCCTTACAATTCATGTTTTTCCCGTAATATATGAATTTCTCAACAATCATAAATAAGCAGACACACTGATGCATATACCTGTATGCATGTGCAGATATTTAGAATATAATCATAAAAGCAAAAAATTATTTGTTTTTTATTTTCCCGTTGTACTTCAAATAACAGTAAGTTATGCTCACACATGCGTATGCATGTAGCACTTAATGAAAATTCTTTGTACACTAATTTTGTCTTTTAAAATAAGACATCACGAAAGTCCTAGCTAATTTTAAATTATAATTCTTTTAAACATTACTAATTGTTATTGCAATCCTGTTTATCTTCTTCATGTCTAATGATGAGCATTGAATTGCTCAGCCGCCTACTGATCAAATTGTGGGAAAAAATCAGTAATATGTAAAAGGTAATCAAATAATAAATAGAACAATTAAATATTTTTTTAAGGAATTTCTAAATGAATATGCTTTTGTGCACTTTATTCAAACAATTCATTTCATCTTGCAAAATAAATCGGACAAAACAGATACACACGCAGGATGGGGGGGACAATGATACGGGCAGACTTACATTTCATTTCATAGAAAGGTTAATCTAATTTTTGATCTCTCAAGTTTTAAACTATAGATTTTGGTTTCTCAAGTTTATTTTCATATAAAATATTGATTATTCTTTACCAAAAAAGATATTGATTCTTATAATTTAATAAAAACCTAAACCATTTTGTTCAACTCATGGTATGAAACTAAAGAGATTAAAAACAAAAGTCATGTAAATTTAAGGGACCAAAGTTATATTAACCCTTCGTATTAAAGAAAAACTAGTGTATATAAAAACCCCGGCATCTATAAAATTTCTAAAAATTTATTTTTCTGTTCAGATTTCATGATAAGTACTTTTTTGCAATATTAAATTTTTATAAGAAAACGCGTGAGGGTGAGAATATGCATGTGCAGTGTGTGAGAATACACACATTCACTTTTATACTACATCAGATATCAATTAATATGAAAAAAGGTCAACCTTTGTGGATAATTTTATAATTTATTGAAGATCTCATTATCTAAATTTTTTTTAAAAAAGCGCCTTATATCATGCTAGTCATATTCTATCTCAAAACTTTAGGAAAGACCATGACCGCAGCCAATTTTAGTCAAACAAAGGACTTCTTTTATTGGGGAAAAAAAGTCTGATTTGGCAAACATTGAGACTAACTGAAAATTTTGATGAATAAACAAATAACTTTTAGAAAAATAAATGACAACGAAATGAACCATTAAGGGAACAAATAATATAATAAAATCTAAAAACATAAATTATTACCTTGTCATTGTTGGAAAAATAACGATAAATATCCTCATGCCTCCACAGCCGAATGGGATTGTCAGGATTAGATTTTAATTGTTGTTTAGAAATTTCAAGACCCATATCGATTAGTAGAGCATGCATCTCAATACCATCATCCACTGAGATGAGGGATCTCTCTTCAAGTATATTTATCTCAATATTTGCAATAGAACCATATAAGTGTCTTGCATAGTCCTGAGAAATCCTCCATCCTGCGTTCAACAAAAATGCAAGATCAAGAAATGCATTCTTCTGTATGTCATCAAGTCCATCAAAACTCAATTTTAGCACATTAAAAATGTCATTGTGAGGAGTTTGATTTAGTTTCGCCAAAGCACTTTCCCACTCTTCTTTGCCTCTGCCATGAAGAAAGCGACCCAGTACTTTTAGAGCTAATGGATTTCCTTGACAATAATCCACTACCCACTTCGATAACTCCAAATAGCATTTCAATGGCTCATTTTGGTTGAAAGCATTCAAACTAAAGAGATGAAGGGCATGATGGGGATCCAATTTCAGAACATGATATGTTGCACTTGCAGAGACAGAATCATCCTCAAGCACATGCCTATCTCTTGATGTGATAATAACTCTACTTCCTTCCCCAAACCAATCGCATGCTTTCTTTAAATCTTCAATTGCTATAGAATTGTCCACATCATCAAGTATTAGAAGAATTTTCTTACACTGAAGCCTTTTTCTCACAAAATCAGATCTTAAATCGTAAGCGTTAATATCATCATCTTTTAACAATTCTTTAAGGCATTTTTCTTGCAATTCATCCAATCCATTTCTTTCTGCTAGCTTTTGTCTGACATTTTTAATGAAGCAGAAAGCTTCAAAGTGTGCTTTCAACTTGTCAAATACGGCTCTAGCGAGAGTGGTCTTGCCTATACCACCCATACCCCATATTCCCACAATGCGAGCTTCACTTATTAGCTCTTCAACTCTCCGAATTCGATGATCGATTCCAACTAATCCTTCCACATGAATGGATGACTTGCGATTCAATTTGCTCAAAATGTCCTTGACAATCTCTTCAACAAGTTTGAATTCAGGTCTAGCATAAATGTCAATCAAAAGAAAAGGAACATTTAATAGAAAGAAAATGAAAAGAATAAAAAAACCACAATAATTTGTTTGAATCCTAGAGATTCATTGAATAAATCCCCAAAACCAACAACAAATGGAGAATTTAAGAAGCTACCTGATAACATTGGAATCCCATCCAGATAGACTTGTAGATTGGATTATAGCATTTCTCCACTTTTGCAATTTTTGTTGGTTGTCTTTAAATCTTTGCTTCAGTATATCAAATCCTTTTCCAAAATTCCCATTTTGTTTACGTATGCTTGAAGGATCTACGTTATAGAAAACAGGTATCACAACCCTTCCAAATTTACGCTTGCATTCTAATATGTGAACAAGCTCATCCAGACACCAAGTTGAAGAAGCATAATTCTCAGAGAAAACAATCACAGATATTTTTGATTCCTCTATTGTTCTTAGAAGAACTGGTGAGATCAATTCTCCTTTGCAGAGTTTGTGATCCATAAAAGTGTGAATGCTTGCATTTTGAAGTCCTTTGTAAAGATAACTTCCAAAATTGTGACGAGTGTCTTCTCCTCTAAAGCTAAGAAACACATCATACTTGGTAGCTGGAGGAGAATCCCTATGAGTCAAAACAACATCATCTTCAGAACTACAGAAAGAAACAAACAGTGAACAGATATTGCGTTATATGTAGGAGCAAATCAAACAAGAAAATAGTGTGAGGTTATTTAGAAGAAGCTAGCTACCTAGCATCAATAGCAGCAGGTTGGTTACCATTACGCCAATGAGAGATGAGTTTGATAGCTTTGGAAATTAATACTCCCAATACGATCAATAAAACTTTTTGGAACACTGGAGCAATGGTTGTGATAGCCGTTTCTAGCTTCATCCTTCAGCAAGCAACGTAGCCAGGGACGAGATTATCAACCCTAGAGGAAAGAAGAAATTAAATTTTTTTGCAGAACATGTGTCCTGTGAGAAGAAAACCCTGAAAATTTTCAGGAAATGCTTGCAAAACAGTACATTTTAATGGGATGAAGCAAGTGGAAGAGAAAAAGAAAAGAATTAATGGATAGTGTTAACCTGGCGGATGTCAGCTTAATTTGCTCACAAGGTCTAAAACATGTCAGTTTCGAGCTTAATTTGCAGACATCCTCCTCTTCAATCAAATTCTTCAAACAAATTTAATGAATAATTAATAATTCAGTATTATGAAGTTTTCTAGTATTAACACAGATACTAGGGAAAATAGTGCTAAAAGCAAGTGGATTATGAAAAAAAGAGAATAAGCCCTGTTGGTTTAGATCGATGCCTTATTTACGCATAACAACGAAATGGGGAGTGACTAAGGGTCCATTTGGATTAGTGATTGAAAAAGTAGCTTATTATCAATTTGGCTTATAGAAAAAGTAAAGTTGGGTAAAAGCTAAACTAGATAAGCTGAATTATGTTTAGATTGGAGTTCAGAAAAATTAGTTTGCAAAAATGAGATTGGTAAAAAGTTATTGGTCCTAATTATAAGATTAACTTATTTGAGGAGATTAAGGAAGTAATTTAAGTTGGTTATTTATAATAAATAAGTGTTGTCATTCCTAAAATATTCTTACTAATTAAGTATATTGGCTAAAACTATCATTATTAGAAGGATTATCTTGGAAAAAAATACATAAATATAAGAGACAAAATGGATTTGGGTCTTATAATTAGGACCAAATAAAAAGTCAAATGGGGTCTTATAATAAGGACCGGAGGAGTATTTAGATTATGATTGAGTGAAAGTAAGTTTGTTTATAAAATTACCAAAATAGGTATGAGTTTTAATAAGTAATGAAAGTGATTAAAAAATGATTTTACATAATATAATGAATTAAAATTAATTTGGTATTGGACCTAGACATCCATTTGGTGTTGGATATTTCGCATCAACCAAGTAATTTTTTTTAAAATAGATTTTTTTTTTACCAAGAGAAATTTTTATATGTGAGATACCTCAAAAAGGCAATTTTTTAAAAATACACTTTTGTTAAATAAAATTTACAAACCAACTTATAAGAATTATACGTATTATAGAATACGAATATCATACATTTTTCATAATTTAAAGTATATTAATTTTCAACAAATAAAATATAAAAATGAAAAAATTTTATTCATATCGAAGAAGAGTAAATTCTTACTACTATTTTTCATAACCTGAACTCTTTGGATTATTATATTTAAACAATTTATATTTCAATTTACTGCTTAATTCTAAATTTTTAATTAATTCAAAAAATCAAATTAAAAAAAAGAAGAAAAAGAACAACGTTACCCCAATGGTACTCAAATAACAATTAGTTGATAGAGGGGAATGAACGAAGAGGACAGGTCAGAATTGGATGGTGGGCCTAATTCTGAAGAACAGTCAACCACTCATGAGACCGCATGCCTTCCGATGGAGCCCACTTACATATTCAATTCCAACGGTAAGCCCGATTTGACTCCCATAAGCTACAAATATAAGCTTATGTAAAAGTCCGTTTCAATCCAATTTTTTGGATCCAAGTCAGATGACTTATAAGCTTTGCCAAACACCCTCCAACTTTTCAAATGGGTTTATCAAAAAATTTAGTAGTTTTTAGAGCCTCAATCGCTGATCCAAACAAGCACTAAGATGAAAGAAAGAACAAGCGCTTTGCTTTTATAATACTTAATTATAAAAACTAGCTGACAAATCTGAGAAATTGAGAAGATTACTTAGTAAAACAAATTAATTAGAAGATAAATGATAAATATAAATAATTTAGTAATTTTTTAATCTTAATCTTATATTAAGAAGTAGAAGTAGTATGAGAAATAAATCAACCGTTTCCTTCATTAAAAAAAAGAGAATAAAATAAACTAAGACTTTGGTCAATAGATCAAGTCCACCCATATCTTAGAAGTTTTTGGGATTTTGTTTCTCAGAAGTATTAAAAAAATTCCAAAATGTTGAAGTTTTATTAGATCTATGACCGTAAGGTAGCTATGGAGGACATTGAATATAATCAATAGCTGGCACAAGAAGAAGAAAACAGCAAATCTAATGCAGAATTTTTCTATGAAAATTCCAGGAAAAAAGCTTGCAAAACAGTAGATGGAGTGATGGATCCATGGGATAAAGGAAGTAAAAGAGAAGAAACGAACCTGGATGGATGTGGAGGGAAACGTAAGAAAGAGCTCTCACAAACCAAGGCCTAAAAAATGGCAGCTTCAGAACTTGCAGACTTGTTTTCTCTTGAAATTAAGCAAGCTCTTCAGATTCAGCGATCACCAAATGTCTCGCTAACGCGTATTTGTCTCTGGGTTTCAGAGATTGTCATTCCAACTCCTGGGAAACTCGTGTGTCGGTGGTGTTGCCGCGTTGCATCACTGTTTCGTGTAACACCTCACGTAATTATATCCATATACGTGATAAAATATATTTAAAAATCCATCCATATTTCTAATACACTATACAGGTCATTATTTCAAAATATTTTTCAAACACAACAAAATAAACCATTAAAGTCATAGCCATGGTAATTAAAAATATAACATAGTAGGTGCTCGAAGAGTACATTAGCCTTCACGGCTTACTCTATCGGTGTCTTCCCTTAATTTCTACTAGGTCCCTCACCTGAAAAATGTTAATATAAGGGATGAGATCAAACGTCTCAATAACTACTGAAATTCTAACTTATACAAGCAAACTGTATATGATAAACAAATCTGTTTATATGTGTGTGTGTATATTTATGTATGAAAATCACGGATTTATACATTCAACTCAATTTCATTTTTGATTCAACAATATACCAACATCATTTTTCTAATATATTAAAAAATAATGCAATATGCAGCCTCCCTTATATCACAGTCCCCCTTTACACCGCTGACTAGAGCCATAAGCTAACACATAGTCCTATAGGAACTAATCCATTTTACTGAATTATTCTAAGCTCACTGATACTGGAGATATGTCCGGCTAAAGATAAAGAGATCAAGTTTAGACTATGGCTTCTCTCCTTTGCGAATAAAATAAGGAGATGTCACATGTCTCACAACTCTAATGAATTCCCGGCCAAAGGAAAACATGGAAGAAGAGGCTTGACAAGTGCCATCCACTATGTACTGAGTGATGGTATACCACGTGGTAATTTATATCCATACAACTCCCTTTTTATTCTTAGCCCAACAATGCATATGTCAGATACAGATAATGTTACATCATAAATATGTTCTTAAGTATATTATTAAAAATAAGATAGCAATAAAATTTCTGTACTATTTAACAGCAACTCATGATAATTCTATAGATATCAATATATTTAAATATTGATCATAATTAATAGCAATAAATCCTAACAAAATCAAGCAACATATATAATACAATCATACATCATTCACACGTACATAAAAGAATTTTCAAAGTTACCTAGTACTCTTTAACTTGCAAATATTTACATAATGATTATTTCAAAATTCTCAAGAGTTTAAAAAATTACATAAATATTTATTAATATAAAACTCAAAACTATTCTTAAAATTACTCTAAAATTCTAAGACTACCTTCTAAATTAAAATTACAAAAATATTTTAACTCTCCTAAATTTTGCTATTTATAATAGATACAATATTATTTTGACAATAAAATTTTTATATAAAAATATTTAAATTTAACAACTTAAATAAATATATACTTATTACTCAAAATCTAAATATTTCATACTAAAATCTTAATTATTTATTATATTCTCATTTAAAAAATTTTCTCAGCTAAACAACTCTTTTGAAGTATAAATAATTTTTTTCTTTTTATAAAATTCTCAATTTACAATTCTTTAAACTTT